TGAATGACTGCAACGAAAACGTACCAAGCAGAATTCTGGTGACTATCCGTTGTAAGCCCACTCTCAAACAACGATGTCAATCACGGTATTTCACTGTTCTCGACTCTTTTTAGCAATCCAGCAAAGTCATTTTCGCACAACTATTGATGCATGTTGGCTGACCACTATCATCTTGTTCTTTAAGGACAGGAGAGTGCGGCTTACTATGTCTTGTTTTCATTGAGCATCCAACTCCAGTTCATAGTGGCCCATTCTGGTTGTTTTTTTATACCGATATCCTAGCACCAAGTTGTTCACCAGAAGCCGTGGATATTTTAAGTAATAAAAAGCCCTGTATTGCAGCTTGTCGATCTCCCCTCATAGGACTCAAACTTCATTCGTGTTATCGCCATGTAGAAGTTGAACTAGGACCAGATTTCCAACCTAGTCAGTGTACAGCAATTTACCCGCTCTTGACCTAACCCACAGACGATCGCTAGCTTGCTTTTTTGCGGTCTTAGTGTGCCTCACTAACTTACATTAATTTTAACTGTTGTTTTGTTCATTATAATTTAAACAAAGAAACTATTCCGAAAAACTTTGGGCCCCCAGTTTCTCACTCGTTTTCAAGTTGTTGGAGCAAAAAATATGTGAAAGATTCCAGGACCACCAGCCTGCATGCAGTCTTTAACTCGGGACCTAATTATTGTTCTTGAATTACGCTGCTTTGGGTGCCGTGGTGCAATTTTTTAACTTTTTATCAGACTGAATTTCATTGGCTATAGAACAACCAAGTATAATCTTTTACAAATAAGCTTATATATGTAAGTGCAAAGCCTAAATGTGATTTCCACGATAGCTGAAGGCAGCGCCTTCACTCGAAGTGATCCAAATGTCGCCAATACGACTGCATTCCTCAATTTCACCCGATCTGGACAGCACTTTTGACCTTGCCAATAGCGGATTGCCCAGCAATGAGCTCCTGGATTACTATCGCCGAAAGGTCGCCTCCCTCACTGCTGAAAGCGACGCTTTTCAGAGTCGGTTAGATCGGTTAGCCAAGATCACACACCGTCAAAACAACTTGCATGAACAACTTCAGGAGAGTGACGTAACTACACATCGATTACGTGACCAACTTTCAGAAGTTCAGGTATAGCCAGAGCATCTCCTGTGTGTTTTGTTAATTCAATTCGAACCTACTCTGTAATGATAGGTTCTGCCAGAAGAAGTGCTTTTTCCACCTGACTAGAATACTTGTTCTATAGATACTGGTGCACAAGGAACGGGACCATGTGTTGCGTCTCTATGCCGAAATAGATAGGTTGAAACTTCGGGAACTCGACGACCGCCGCAGGATCCAGTACCTGTTGAGGCTCTCGGGCTTGGCTTCAGCTGAAGCCGCGTACTTCTTGCCCGATTGCGCCCACCTGGGAGAACAATTTAACGCGAGCAAAGCCGTAGTGTCGTGTAATCGACGATGTATGGCGTCCTCGTGTCCGTTCCGTGGTTCCTCGACTAAAGGTGGTCGTGGGCGCAAGCCATGTTCCCAACACAGTAAGGGCATTGTTTACCTGTTTTGATGTTAAAGGGTAACGCTACGGTCAGGTACTGGAGTGGTAATAGTTGATGAAATCGTCGAGTCCATTTTTGTGAAAGCTATTGATCTGCCTATCAACAGTATGCATTTTTTTTCAACAATTGCAACTCTTTGCACATTTTTGGAATCGCGAGTCAATGCAATGTGTTGAATGACGCCCATAGTAAAAAGCGCCGACACACAACTCTGAGGCTCATTAATGTAAATATGTCTGTCCAAGAGCTCCCAGTGTCCGTCAGTTCATTGATTTGTTCACTCTATTGCCCATTTGGATGCTTCATGGTTCTGCAGATAGTCGTGTCTCCGCGCACGCTGACAACACTATTGCAAATATCGACTATCAGTCTGTGGTCTGGGACCTTAAGTGCTCGGAGACAGCCCTCTACGCTCTTAAAAAACAACTCGAGGAGCAAAGCAAAGCCGCTCAGGATCGTATTGAGAGTCTCCTAGTTGATCGACGAGAGCTGATAAAGGCGCGGCAGGCTCAAACCCACATGCTAAAGGCTCGGATAGTGGAGCTCCAGGATCAGTACGTTATCCTCGATTGAGTTTCATGCGAAAGCTATACCCCAAGCTACTAATCTTCATCATTAGCGAATTCTCACCAGTTTAACACCAAGACTACAAGCACGGCGTTGTTATAGATGAATTTAAATTCGATTTTCTGCTGAACTTATGTTTTGAGTAGTGGTAAGTTCAGGTGAAGTCCTGAGCAAAAGTGATTTTAGTGTAATTGAGAGTTTGGTGTAGCAATCTGTGTAATCTCTAAGGAGTTTAGTAAAGTGTCTTTGCCTTTGCAGAATTAGCAAAAGCCTTGTGTGTACTTTAAGGCAATCTGCATCTTTTACCGCTTAGAGTAAAGAGCTGTCAGACGTTATTACTCGAAAGTGCGAATGAAAACCTGCGTCAGAGGCGACAGTATTGTTTCGCAAAAGGAACATGGATGGGCGAGAAGACAAGCCTGCTAGCTCAGCAGGGTGTTTCCGAGAGTCATCCATCAAAAAGTAACGGCACGACAGAGTGGAAATTACATAATCAACTAACATCTCAGGGTAAAACATCAAGGACAAAGTCCGTCGTGGCTTTGACGCCAGCGGGACCACAATTTGTAGAGCCCGTGGATGTTTCGAAGATGGACGGTATTCAGAGACGCGAATATGAACATAGGAAGACCACTGACGAAGTGCAATGTGGACTTGAGCAGCAGCAGCAGCAGCAACTTGCCACCACGCATCGTGAGCAGGTATCGCCCCTCTGTGTTTTGATGAGGCTAACTTGTTGGTGGAGCGATCGCTAAACTGATTTTTCGCCGAAATAGGCTTTGAACATGTCTGAAAAAACGCAGCAAAACCTTGAAGAAGACCATCATCCAATGGAAAGTTTTGAAAACATGACAGAAAAACTAACAGAACGAATTCGTGTGTGGGTTCAAAAGTACCGGAACCTCGAGCGTCGAAGGAAGCTGGAGGTCGAGGGCTATCGCACGGACATTGCCGCCTTGAAAAAAAGACTCGTCGATGCGGAAGCAAGACTTACCGAGGTATGTTCCTGGCGAAAACGATTGCAATAATTTAATAACCAGGGGTTCATGTCAAGCACGCATATGCCGTGGTTTCAGTATGTATTCTCGTATCAATTCCAGTAATATAATGGTACTTTAGAGATAATTTGCCCGAACGTGACCGCTTTTTGCAACAATAATCCACTCGATCACGTGGCTACGCTCGCTCTCCACTAGCGCGATGTTCGTCTCCTTTTTGTAAGGGAAATCAGACCGTCAGATTGCTAGTTTCGCACGCAGTCACCTCCTTCGGGTAGCCTTTCTCAGTCCATTCGAATTGGGCCAGTCTTATAGCCGGTTAGCGTCTGTCACCTGACAGTTTAACTACAGACAACCCTTTTGTGGGCCCCAGCATGTGGTCTTGAACCACGCCGGGGCCACGGAATCAAGCCCAGCCCGATTACATTTCCCTGAAACCTGCGATGAAAAAAAACGATCGGAGAGGACGTGAACACAACCGTTTACTTCCGAGCTCAGCCACGTTGATGTCGTGTCTGGGGTTTGCGCGTGTGTATTTATACCTCAGATGTGTGAGCCATAGACGAGCTAACATCGAAACCTAGGTGTGAGGATAATCCAAGATAAATTTTTGTGCGAAAGAGGAAGGGGTTGAGGATCCGCGCGGCTGGTGAAATGCTGCGAAAAGAAGGATCATGTGTTCGAGGCTGGAATGAGTGTGTATAAGCACGATTCACAATCCTTTCGTGCATCTATGTGGTTTGAAAGTGATCCAAAGCGGCCAAATCCGAGTATGCCGTGGATCTAAAAGTTGGTTTTGATAAAACTGTACTTCGGGTAAGCCTCTTGTCGGTGCTTCTGCCTTTGCAAAGCCTTGCTGTTGTTGACAAACAAATTTGCCAGCATGCGCGCCACTAAAGCGATCAACTCAACTGTTCCCAGTAGTAAAGTGGAGTTCTTTGCACAGAATTTAGCATGGATTCGGTCTTTCCCACAGATGACGAGGACAGCTGAGCGTGACTCGGAGCTGGCGAATGCCAAGCCAGTTGGCGTCGACCTCCTCCGTCTTTTTCAACAAATGCCCTGCAAATCGGCGCGCTCCAGAGCCCTGGCCAGTGAACTCATTAAATTGAATCAGCTGATGTACAAATTGTGGGACAATTCCCGTCGTCTGTAACACTTTTTCCAGAATCTATATTTTTTTAATACATTTTTTGTTGTACGTCGGCTATTGTCTTGTTCTTCATCAACACAAACTTATCGCAGGGCAGCAATCACCCTCTGCGGTTTCATTAGCTTTCCTGAAGCTGTATAAGAGGGTGTTTTGGGGTAAATGCGAAACATTTTCGTGGGCATTTAGTCGTATCTAATTTTTTAGTCAGCATGGACCAGTAGTTAATATCAACGCTTTTGTAAGCGCCTTAGAGCCGGGTTAATATTTTACTCGAATACATCCGTACTTATTATTTATAAGTAGCTTGATTTAGATTAGGAAATAATGGAATGGTTAACTGGCATTGCGGTGTCGCAACCACCACCTCGATCATATGAAGGGTAGTCACAAACACTCCATAAGGTTTAGTACAGCTAGCACTCATAAAAATCATGAGCAACCATACATAAAAGATTTCCCCACCGGGTGGCCTACTGTCACGTATTGAGGACTTGCAAACCGAGAGAACTATCTGTGTGTACGTATAGCCTACAAAATGTAGTGAGTCCTCTTAGAAGTAAATTACATCCGTATTAATGTGCTCGTGAAAGGTGCAACTGACAATAAACCTCTGCTGACAGCCCTCCATGGCCATCGCAAATGCTGGGAACGAGCTGTGTCGAAAGTGACACAAGTGGTTAACAACCAGTGCAAGTCAATTTTCCTCAACCGTTGTTCCACGTGTTTCTGTTTGAAACCACGACTAGCTGCAAGACGGAAGTAAGACATCCACTGACGGTGTGTGCTCGGCTGTTTTTGAGAAACCTTAGTAGGGTTTGCCATGATTTGCCTACGCCTACAAGTTTGTGCATGCATAACAGTCACAGTCGTGCGCAGAGAGAGATGTAGCCGTGGTTGGTTCTTAACCGAGTGAGGCGGTGAGTCGTGCTTCAAGGACGTGGGCGGGTGGAAGTGCACATGGGGGTGTTTGCGTACAAACGCTGGGAGGGTGAGGCAGACGAGGCAGTGGGTCGGCGGGGTGTGCGGTGACACGTCAGTTAACCCGATTCCGCACAAAAGAATTCAAAATGGCAGTTTTGACAGACTCGGACAGTAAAGAATGATATCATGATAAAAGAATCTTGGCCAGACTCGCGTGTTCGTAGTTTTCACTTAATCTGACATTCTCAGTTTAAAAATAAGACAATTGAAATCATTCCACCAGTCCTGAGAAGTTGTGTTGTAATGCACGGTTATGCCAAGTCGTCAACTGTCAGTAAGAACAGTTCACGGCCACTGTTTTGGTATAACCAAGCAATTATCAGATTAACTTCTTCCATTTACTTGGCTTTAAATGCCAATTTAGCAAAAGAGCTCAACGTCATGGGAAATCGTCACAACTCGTTGGCATTCAATGCATGAGCTTAATTGTATCTGCTGGAGCCTACCAAGTTAGGAGTAAAACGGTGCTTTTGCCTGACAGAATGTAAATTACTTGGTGGTCTGTACTTCGGATTTTTCTTTTCTGTTTGATTTTACACAACGACAGCGATATGATCATAATGTGACGAATGAAGCGTAGTGGGGCAATTTGAGTTAGCAACATCATAACGGATGTTTAAACCACTTGCCATGGTTAATCGACCGACATCTACTTTGGAAAACCTAGGACTCTGACCGTTTTAATGACGAAAGCAGGGACAGTGGCTCGTTGGTGTTTTTGAACCGTCAGCGGACACGCTGGCGCGGAAGCTTGTTCGAACAGGTTTACCGCATGTTGACTGTAACTGACTCACCTGTGCCTCTTGTCGGTCTCTGTCGTATATACTCAATAAATATGCTTACACACGCGCGTATAATGTTCCACCATACCTACCTGGTGAACAAATGGTTGTGTCCACTTCGTCGTGTTGTCATCTAACCGCCTTTGTCCATGGCCTCTTTGGATGTAAACGACGACTAGGGTTCTAGTGTAGATTGCTAGCTGTCACAACACCTATTAATTTGGCTTAAAATACCTTCTTGCAGGATATGCTGGATGCCTTTTGTCGGCGGATTATGCCAGCCACTAGCAACTGTCAAAGTTACAGCGACAATTTATGGTGAGGGCCACTCATGTTTGTGCTTCACGTGGCAAGTTCCCCTTCGGGATATATCTACCAATGCCCAACAGTTACAACAAGGTCCCTTAGACGCGGCGGATTCTCAAAAAGTGGATATTTGGTATTTGGGTTAACCTGCCCAATAACAAAAACGGGTCTTAGAGAAAATTGCCCCTGGCAGCACTCTGACTCGTGGAATTTGTATATTTTGAGGCCATTGATGGCATTGCATGATACAAGTAAGGATGTGAAGGTTCGCAGAGGTAGAGACGCGTGAAATTAATGTCCATTACGTCTACGAATTTCACCTGTTTTTACGTGCAAAATTTATAATTCTTCTTAGCTACCAATGCGCCCTTGCAAAGTAGTTGAAAAACATCGCTAGTTCACACAGCCAACGTCATTAGAATTGACATGACAAGCAATAACGTTGAACACGCCAAGTGAATTTCATCACCTGTCTGGTGCGTGCAATTTCCAAGTGCACAATGGGTTGGCTCGAAGTTGCATTGGTATTCCGTTCTACTCAGTCGTGGTATTGCCACACACCGAATGGATTCATCACACAATGCAACCGACTTCGATCAGACTAAAGATTGTTTGCGAATAACTACCAGGTGTGAGCGAAGGTTCCTGATCTTGATCTCATTACTACGCACGTACTGGTCCTTGTTCATTGATTTGACCCCCTGACATTCGTCACATCTAAATACACCCTGAGACATGGTGTAGCGGATTAACAGCGATCGCGCCTGAGTGAACCCTGGTTACTGACCTGACGGTGACAATGACTCACCCCCTTTTGCATTGGTTACTGTATTAGATGCCTGTCATCCGTTCGCTCATCCACATACTATGACACACTTGGCTGGCGTGACGCTAATAAACGGTCGTGTTCACTGTCGGCTCTCTTCTCTCCATTCTCGGGTTGTTACGGGCTGTTAACTAGAGGGTTGTAAGGTAGTGCTAAGTCTTTAGCCACTACAATGGTATCAACAAAACCACTCCTCAAGTCAAGTCCTCTTTCCTTTGCCTGGTTGTGCCGCGTCTACGTGGATCTTTGCTCTCTAAAGCACGTCGTAGCCTCTGCACCTCACCGCACTCGCGACCAGTGTTAGGTAACCTCTGCGACCAATCTGATTGAATTACAGCGCCAGTTATAGTACAGGAAGGTAAACCACTTTCACGGCTTTATGCGCTTGAATGAAAGTTAATATTAAACAGTCATTTTTTCAGTATGAAAGTGAGAGATTTTAAGCTTCACTGATGAGTAAAAATTCCACTCTCTGGAAATCAGTGCCTAGTAAAATATAAGCACCGCGTAGTTTGTTCGCTAGTAACGTTTGGTCTTCGGAAGGCAGCAAAATCCAACTTATTTAATCTCCCACCAAAAAAATACAGAGATGTTTTCTAGCGACTGTTGTACCGATTGTTGTGTCGCAGAAATCTGCCGGATGTTGAACAGTTTCAGTCCCAATTAGGGGTGTTTAAAAAGAACACAAGACTTCAATGTTTTCGCGTTTGACACGATGACTTCGATATCTGCTCCAGAAATGAAATAATTCACCTGCTGGTACGCATTTATTATTCCTTTATTGTTTTTCCTGGTCTTCGGCATGTGCTGCAGAAGACTGCTTAGATAGGAACTCCCATAAAAGACATGTATTTGTCTTAAATCAAGAAAGTATTGATTAACTAATATTGCGGGTATCACACGACTGAGTCGTGGTCGAAAGAAGAGGACTCGAGAGGGTCCTCGGCGTCTTCGGCTTCGCGCCCTTTCCGTTTGCGTCGTTTAGCATCCGCATCAATGTAGGCGTTCACCGCCATGCTTGTCATTACTGTCGTCATACTGCGTACGCGGTCCCTAAAAATCAGCAGGAAGTGAGCATAACAATCTGTTTAAGGAAAACCAAATCAATCCTCAGCGTTGACTTCCTACGATAATGAATAACGTATTGTTGCAGTTCCCGTCTACAACGTGTGCGACAGAATGCTGGACGTCCTCCTGCTATTGTGGAGCCATTCCATTCCTGCAGGGTATTACTTCCCCTTGGCCATTTAGAACTGGCCATGCCCACGATCGAAAAACGATTTTACCTATCCCGTGTCAATATTTTTACTCGTACCGAGGCCATATTCGCCCCAACTAGGCAATCTCTGAGAATCGATTCATCGTTAGGTTGGCAGGACTGCAGTATCAATAATTAACGGCTCCTCAATTCCACCTCGAATACTTGGGTCAGTTGTGAAGTCTCTTTCGATGAAGTTTTGGTAGTTCCTGAAAATGTCAATCAAGATTTAAGGAGAGACACGTTATTTTTGACATTGCCATTTGTAGGAAAATCACAGCCACGATGACATGTCGTCAGCAAAGTGATGATGCCGTCAGGACATATGGCGTGATAACAAGAAAACAAGCTCATTTTTGTTGTCGCATTAACCATGGGATTAAGAAACTCTGGTGCGGATTCATAACAAGTGGTAAAAACATTTAGGCTTGACTTTAGTACAGATAAGCATTACAAGTCTGCACGTCCCCCAACTTTTGTTCATATTCATATAACCCAAAAAGATGTACCTAAAGTTCAAGTAAATGGGCTCCGAAACTACACATGAACTCCAAAAATCTCTTTTAAACGTTTCCCCAATGTTCTGTGACCTAAAACTGGCAGCACAATAATTTCTAAATTTATCATGAAGTATCAAAACCTTGACCTTTTACCCATTGTGATTGTGACCTTAGCAGCTCCATTGCACACATTTGATCCGGTTTAAAAGAAAAGCCGTCAGTAATGATTCAGTCATGCGTGTAAGATCATTTTGCCAACACAAATTGAGTTTGATGACCCCTGAAATGAAGTCCTTGTTAAATATTGCAAACGTCGCGAAGGCATGTAAGTTCTATTCAGGTGGAGTGCTGAATGCACGTCATGAGTTTAACTAGTCCCCAAATTTACTGAACGAATTGAGGTCAAATGACAACACAATGTTGGGATTCCAAGCACTACAATGCAAATTGCAATTTAGGTCAATGGCTGCTCTATTAAACAAAATTTCTAATCAAAATGTGGAAGTCCGTCGAGATTCTAAAATGGGCAATCAACGCATTTTTGACAAATTTATGAAACTTTGAAACTATTTGTTCCGGACCCGTTTACCGTAAAATCATGGTTTCCAGACTAGAGGCAATTCGTGATGGGGCAAAATACACCTTTCTACACAAAACGGTGGCTTGAAAGCGACGTGTACTCTTCATCAAAGGCTTCCCCATTGCCCTCAGAGACGGGCGACGCCTTTGTGATAAGTAGGCACTCACATTAGTCAATTCTCCGGGCGCTCTACTTGTGTGCTCGCCAATTCATAATTAACCAAGGCAAAAATCGAGAATATTGATTTACAAAAAAAGTGTGTTTTTATAGTTTGAGACAAGGTTCTAATATGGACAAGATTTCTACCCATCTGAGAATAGGAGTACGCGAGCCTAAATGTCAACTTCATGAAATATTATTTAAGGTTAGGGATCAAATTATCAGGAACCAGACACGACTTAACTAGATCCAAGAGGTTGATGCTAAATTGTACCTTCAGATTTTCAGAATTTAAATGGTAGACGAAATGTATGGGTTAATCCTATATGTCCATATGGGAAAAAATCAATAGCTTAAATCACACTGCTGCTTTTTTGTCCAATTAACGGGAAATCATCTTTATTATTGTTTTAACCTCCTTAGTCCGACTTATAGTAAACTTGACAAAATTTGATTTCGCATCCTGGTGCTTTTTTCAAATTAATAAGACAACCTATCGAAATTCAGGAAAAAAACTCAAATAGGAACTTACAGTAGCCAGTCAACTGCGTAGAGTAGGGAAGCCCCTTGGGTTGATACGCCGGCTGAGGACATGACAGTGATTGCAATGACGATACTGGCGCTTGGAATGTGCGGGATTGCCAGAACTACAGTAGAGGTCAGGGTCCTATAAATAGGATGTAATTCACTTTTGACATTTTGATACTTCGATAGTTCTGCACAGTGCAAATAAACCTAAATGAGATTACTTATATGAAATCCAAAAAGTCAGGGAAGATTTCGATAAGTACGAAGGTTTCTCTGACATTCGTTGGCCTTATGGTGAAATCTTTCAACTAAACACTTCGAATTCTTGTTTGCTAAACTCAGACCAAAAATGTTGATGAGTTGTCACATTTTTAATCCATTATTTGCATAACCTGGACAACACAGCGAGCTGGCTATTAAAATTTCAGAATCACGCAGGTTCCCAACATTTCTTTAAAGTCCGAACACATTAAATTAGGTTGCATTTTAACCGATGCTATGATTTTTAGGTATTATAACGGCTACGAATTGTTTACAATTATTTAGGTCACATAATCATTTAAACCACTTGAACCCAATAGCAATTGTGCAAGACAGAATTATTAAACAGTTATCATACTATGCGGAACACACCAGATAACAGCGATGGCACCGACAGATACACTCCCAAGGCTCATTTGGGCCACAAACATCGCTGCTGTTGAAATGAAGATGGCGGGACCATCCGCTTTCAGTGCGGAAGCGAGAGGACAGGCGATGCGGGAGATTTTAGTGTCAATTCCGTATCTGTCACATCCTTCATACATCTCGGGGATTGAAACTATCCTATAAATAGGAATCGCTCGCATAACTGCACAGAAGAGGGCGAAGTTTAAATAGACATGAGTTATGGTCACATAATTTCCGGTAATAACGACACCTGCAAAAGCAGTTTCCGTTTTAACTAACGTTAGAAACTCAAACATGATTTTGTTTCAAATCAAAATAATTTATAGTAAATTAGGGAACAGGTTTTAAGAAACCTCGATTTTCCAAGCAATTACTGCATTAATTACGATTGTTTTACAGCAAAATAAGCACGCCGAATCGCTCCGCTTATCGTGAACATTTTCAAGACGTTCTCGATCCTACTCGTCCTGCTTTCCAGGCGCCTGGCTTATGCTTCCGACCATTACACACGCTCTGTTATATCCTGCATGTATTCATCAGTGAAAGCCCTACATTCATGCAGGCATCCATGCTAATTGCAATGATGCCGGTGGCTTGTAGTTGAAGCATTTCATCAGCAACAAAATTCTATCAGCATTTGAGGTGAAGTTCCATTAAACGACTAGTGGGGAATTAATTAAACATTTGCGCTCATTCACGACTATGGAGTAATAGGTTCATTCATTTTTACACTCACGGGCTAGTTGTCGCAAAAGCGACGAGGCTGGCTTTAATTGTGTGCTTGAAGAAGGAAAATGGGTTTCTTCTTGTGATCACAACGAAGATTGCAAAGGAAAGGACGATATCGATAAGGGAGCCTGCTAAAACAGTCACAACGAAGAATCCCAACTCCGCGAATGTGTGAGAAATGTTGTCAATTTTTACCACGGAACCAGCGATCATGAAGCACACACCTACAGGAGTTAGTCTAAAATAAATGAGAATTGCTCCAGTATCTGTCTAGAGAAATGGAAGAATGCGACAAGCCGACTCAGGAATGCGCACTTTCCTCGTATACTGCTTTACAAAATATTAACACAGTAACTGATTAACATCTTACGTAAACTTTGGTGGTAACTTCGAGCTTCAAGCGGTCCCACACCAAACAAAGGTATCTCGAAGTAAACCACTTCCGAGATTATGATAGTGTCTTGTGATCTTCACAGCATAACTGGTCTTCTCTGAGGGAACTAAATTATTTAAGCAACAGTTCCATATTTTGGTTAAATGTTTATTTGGTAGAGTAGGCTGATTATTAATGCGTGATCCACTTTATTACTTGACGTGAACGCCTAGACGCCTACTGTAAGATAGATTGTGGGCTGAACCACGTATTTATTACCAGTTATTATGTGAGTTGACAATGTTTGCTCAGTCAGAAGAATATTCGATCGATTTGCAAAATGCTCAGGTTAAAGCCGCTGATTGGTGTACATTTGGTGGGCTTTTTCAAACCTATCAAAGCAGTGACGACTCACTTTCATTTACGTCATAGAACTAATGCACCGCATAATCAACCACGTGACCATAAAAGAAGGCTTTGTTGGTGGTAACTTACAAAAGGAACCAACGGATAAGAACCAACACAACATCTGCGAGGGACCTGAAGAAATTAAGAAACTGGAGCCCTCTCTCTCCGGCGACTCTGGCAGCCAAACCGAAGAAGATGCACGTGTAGAGGACGCCTACAATTGAAGTATCCAAAATGTCACGCCTTTTAAACAAAAAATGTGCCTGTTAGTGTGATTCTCACCAATCATGTTTGTCGCATGGTTAAATACCTGTTTCCTGACCTTAACGGGAATGCCTGTTGAATTGTCAATTTCGTATTCTGTGGCCGTCTATAGACACAAAAAACGTAAGGGAATGGTCAAGAATAGATGGCTAAGTAGTATACCGCATGTTTGAATTAAAAAATGGAGGTTCTTTTAATTACAACAAGGTTGCCAACAAATTCTACACCCACAGAGCATCATTGTCGCTCTAAATATATCTTAACCCGACGGCAAAGCACTTGCCAGCACCTCCCTGCTGGGTTCCTACTTTTAGTTGCTGAAATTCTTTTTTAAATCACGCCAATCGGATTAATTCAGTGTCACGTGAAACGTGATTCCGACTTTCTAATATAGATACTTTGTAATTTAATGTTTCCGACAAAAGTGAAACTACACTACAGAAATATAACTTTTTTTTCGTTCTTCTTACATTACTAGCATAATCGTTACTTAATTATGCTATTAATTAATACATGTACTGCAAGAAATGCCCACCTGGAATATTGTCATGGCAACGATATTTTCCGGGAATAAGTTTCTACAAATGAAGAACGTACATTTTTGAACATTATGCGAACGAGAACGTATCAATATTTGGTTGCTATTTAGTCGAAAATAGTAATTTATTTCAATTTATTAAAATGAAGTTTTCTACCATAATAAACGTGCAGGACGTCCCTAATTTATTGCAAATGTATTACAGATAGGCACGATCACCACGCTAAATATTCGTACTATTGCACTACCAGGAATAATAAGAACAGCTTTGAAGGTGGATTAAAATTGTTGGTACTTATAAAGTGGGCAGTTTATCTTAATTAACATCGTTCAATAAGCACACGGTAGATATGTGTGGTTTCTTTGATTTATTTTCTGCAAACTAACTGCGCTAATTAACCATTTTCTGCCATTATTTTCTATTGTTGCCACACAGCTAAGATACAAAACAGGCATTCTAATCAAGTGTCGAAACCTTTGCATTGAATATAACATGAAAATGATAAAAAACATAATGCATTTACAAACTGAAACTGTTTAATAGCCATATTTGAGAGCCATCATTGAAACTAAGATGTAGACAGCTTTGTCAAATAAGGTTCGGTACTTCCTCACAATTCAGCTAATATATATCAGCCTTTTGGTTTGTGAACTCACAATAAAAGATTGGAAAAAACATCAGATGTTGTCGGTTCCAGTCCAGTTAGTCCAGTCAAGGACGAAGTGTTGCTATCTTTCATTCTACTCCCTATAACAGAAAGTCTACGTGACGATCCAAAACGCTGCTACATATTTACAGTTCATGGAGTCCTGATCTTGACATGAATTCTAGCCGGACATAGTAGTTGGCGAGAATTTTAAAATCATAACAATGCCAAGTTATATTTCTTCTATTCATAATTTGAGTAGGAAACATGTAGTGTTTTTCTACCTTAGATTGACAACACGAACTTTCTTTCAAATCAAGACTTTTTCGTTTAACATTAGCACTAACTGACTATTTGTCCATGATTTTATGAACGCTTCGTGATGAAAATTAATGAGTTAATCTCAAAATGTTTTAGCTGTAAATCAATGTGCCGAGGAAGTCAGGAAAGACCATGACAATGGCCTTCGTTAAATAGCGATTCGAAACTGTCCTGTACCAACTTTTTTCGTTTCATGAAATTATCTTAGCAGCACCATTCACATGTTCACATTATTGCTGCTTTTACAATGGCAATTCCCACCAGCACTACTCCCCTTCTTAATCCAGTGTGTCAAGGACACCCAAGACATACATAATCGGACGTGGCATGCGGCCTTTGGGTGAGGCAGTGAAAGCTTTCCGCACGATGTCCTGTCCTTATCCTGCCACTGGGAAGGTGGGGCTTAAAAGTGCACAAGGCAACCGTATATTTGGTTCTCCGGATGTGTGAGTGGGGTTAGGGACACATTGTGCAAAGATGTGATCTTATTTGAAGGTATATTTTGTGCGTCTTCAGCGTGAGTAGCCAGAAGCAATTTATGTTAAATTTACGATTTCGCAATAAGCCGCCGATGCGTGGAAATGTTTTGTCGCTCTACAAGAACACAAAGCAAAAGAACAATCTCCTCAGAGCGGATTCATGTAGCTCGTTTAACGTAACGTGAGTTTCTAGCTTGTAGCTCCGTCTTCATGGCCTTATGCGGAAGACGTCATTAAATAACTAATAGCATCAGCTCACTATTTGGTCCAGAAGCCCCCTTTATCAAGACAAACCGTGAAACTGTTTACCTGGTACCAGTTCAGTGATTATTCTGTAAACTTTATTAAAATACACTTTCTGTGTGCTCTCAGAAATATACAATTAACTCCTAAGTTGGTTGTACAGGAAAACCGTCCCAGTAAACATCAACGGGGATTACTTTGAACGATTTACCAAAAGGCTGATAGTAACAGGCAATAAAGACTTTTGGCCCTAACAGTGTATCCTGACCTCAAATGGCAAAATTAACCCAGAAGAAGAAGGCGAAACGTGCATGCGTATATTCAAAACAGTGAGTTATGATTCCACATGATGGCAGAATTTGAAGGAAAACTGTTGGGAGAAGACACTAACAAGCGCATTTTCAAAATAAGTATTTCAAATGTCTTTTTTTTCAAGTGTGAGCTGTTTTTTGAAAGCAATTAAGAGGCCTATTCGTGATCCCAAATCACACCAAGAATTCATCCATGTTTAACCCAAAAGAGTGACATTTAAAACAAAATTAAGATCTGACCCCTGTCACCTTCTGTTTGACCCCTTAAATAAACATGCTCTTTTGCGCTAATTCCACTGATTTTTTACCTGGATTAATGACAGCGGACAGTGCTGTTCCAATTGCTGCTCCGCAGACGTTGTAAGCCAAAATCCAAACCAAACAAAGCAGGCTATTTCGCCCTTGTTCCCTTGGGTCGATGCTGGCAATAACTGTAAAATTACGAAATTACGTTAGTATTTCAATAAATCACAAAGACTTTAGCTACAATAAATCAAATCAAATTTTTTTGTAACTTCTGCATTAGTCAATTTGTGGTTCTCCCTCTACAGTTTATTTGTCAAAGTTTTACTGAGTATTGATACTGTTAATAGCATATGTTTAGTTTCTTATCACTATACTAAACTAGACGGAGTTATAAACCATTTTTTCTACATCCCAGAGGTACTTGCTTCTTTCAATCATTGTAAATTGCAAATACACTTGCCGATAATCAGGTTAGCAGCAATCAATGGAAGGACTGTGAGCTGAAGCAAGTGCAGGTAAATATCACCAGGCATTTCTAGAAGCAAAGGAAAATTAAATTGTCATTTGACATTTGACAACCAAACGAAAACAGGGCCGCAAGAAGACAAATGGTGTGAACCAGGGCCCAAAAAGGCATTGGCTGGCACACTAAGAGGTCTTATGCTTTCTGTGCAAACTAAGCCCCATTTGTGCACCATACCAGATACGTGGAACCGTAATGTCTCCAAACGTGTGAATTTCTGGTGCAGTTCATCGAGTAAACTAGGTCAAAAAGATTATTTCGGATTCAGTTTGTTAGGCTTCAGTTTAAAATTTCCACAAAAAACCCTAATTATGAGAATTATTTTAGAATGTTCCCTTAGCTAGTCACGATTCCTGACCAAATGTAATTAACGAGTTGGATAGCACTACAGAATGCTTTTGATTACAACCGACAATTTCTGTTAGTCATTGCAGACCTATGAAATTCGTAGCTTCCCAAGATTCATGTGAGCCCAGCTAGTTGAAAGGAAAGTGGCTTGAAAAATATAGCTTATGCTGTCATAAAGCTAGTCGAAAAATTCAAATTTTGAGAAAAATCCAACATGTAGAGGGTTTTTTGTCAGGAAAACATACTTTACTCAATTCTAAAGGGCGTTATGCTGTACCTGTGCCAGGTGGATTAGTTAATCTAGTGGTTCTTCAATCATAAAGATGTACATGATAAAAACACGTCTTTTTTTACTGTTCGTGGTTAAGAAATGTTTTCAAGTTTTTTTTTCAACGTGATAGATGAAAGTGAATTAGACACACAATCAAAATTGCGTAGCGAAGTGTGTTATTTAGCAGACGCTACCAAAACTAATATCTACGTCGAAACTCACGTATCCAAAGTCTACTAACTTCCGGATTAGGAAGATATTTTCCCCCGAATCCAATTCCAAAGCCGACTGCTACCCCGACAAGGATAAGAAGCACAAAGAGATTTTCCCGAAGAAAGAGGACAAAACCCCTTTTTTCTTTCTCACCATGAAGGCTAACATCAATGGTTGACTTATCGGAGTCAGCCATTGTGTGTACTCCTAAAGCTAAACTATGCAAGTGACACTATCTTTCTGACGTATTTAAATGGTATTAAAGGCCTTGAGAAGGCGTCGATAAGCTGAGTGGTCATCGCGCTGAAAGTATGCCGTGTGCACAGACTGTGATTTGACGAAAACACTTCGAGGCTTAGCCTTTTAGCAAGAATAATGCAGCTAAATAATGTGGTCACTACGGCTGAATAAACGGCATAATTGGATGAACAAAAAGCTGACAGAACTAAAAGTACATCTGTTGAGGTCAAATGGGTATCTTATGTGTCATCACAAATTGTTGGTAATTGGTTAGTGGAGCTGGCAAAGTTGCAGGTCCTACAAGGGGGGCGATGGCAACATGAGCATAATTCTAGAATTATTAATATTTAATTTTTTTAAATTTCACTGATTTAAATTATTTATGCAGTTAGCTTATGCTCCTGATTACTGATGGCAAATGAATGCATAAAGACGTGCATGTACTTCTATTTTGCTTAAGAATAGAAACTCTGAAGAAACGGATTCCCTCATTAATACTTAAGTAATCGTATTAGTGTCATTGTTGTCCGTTTAATAAGTACCTACAAGATTTATGATACTCATTTGACTATTTTTTTAAAGCATACGTAGTTTATAAAGTTAACTGCCATTTTACCAAAAGCATCACTGTATCACTTTTTGCAGTTTAAATGTTTAGTGCAATTTTACCCACATCTCAATTTTTCTGTTTCTCACAGAACATTAGCCCTTTGGCTGAGACGATTAATGCTCTCTGCACGACGTCTGGTTTTGTCTCGCATTAGCGTGGGAAGGTTGGTTCCGGCGTCTGATAAGGGATCTGGTGGATTCGTCCTGGTTACCGGCAAACGTAACATTTAGTCATTTTTAAATAGTTCAATTCTTCAATCTACCGGATAGGTTATTTGACTTTTAGTTCATTAACTTAACTTTAACTCAGGGTTTAGCAGGCACCAATTACAATGAGTAAAAATTATATTCTGTCTATGAGAAACAATCAGATAGCGGTCATTTCGAGTTCTCTTTGACGGAGTTGGTCTAAATGGATTAAGGCTAATTAGGGACTTTTGTCATGGGTGTTTCCTCTATCCTTTTAGGATACAAATGAAGAACGGATTAAAGAACTGTAAACGGAGTTGAATTAACAGAAGAACCACTTGCACACCACTGGTAAATTGGTAAGTTATAACTCGCCTTCTTTCTCTAGAATAAAGATTTGTTTAAAATTGTGCATCCCACACAACAAAAGAAGTCATTAATATGGGAAGTGACTTTGCTGTGAGGAAACCACTCGCTTAATCTAGGTAATATTGGCGAGATCTAAAAAAATGTTTTCTTTCGTAAGGTAGAAAGTAAAATCCACTTAACTAAAATAAATTAAAACTTTCTACTTTGAGCATTATTTGCTCGTTTGAAGTATTAGGAAACACTTCTTTCTCACTTTAGATTCATGTACTTGCTTTAGCACGCAGAACAACGGGCAATGGGCAAAACCTCCATTGGTGGCTTTGAAGGTTTGAAATTCATCAGCAAAGTCATGCTTTTACGAAAGAGGGAACGTTTAGAGGAAAAAATGATACGTTCAATTGTTTAGAAGTGAAACAGACATTAGATGTAGGCGATAATGGACTATTGAGAAACATTTGGTCTCATCTGCTGAAACCTATTGTCTCTAAACAAATTCGATTGCCAGCCCGATTAAAGATGCTGTTGCGGTTTGATCCGAAACCAGGTACTCAGAGAAGAATGGGGAGACTAAAGTCGATGGAGGATCAACCGTTTACTAGGCCACTAGATCTGCGTCGCGTTTGCGCGTGTGTCATAGGTGTGCTAGTATAGAGGCTTAGCAGAGTTTGTTCACATCAGCAGGAATAGTCCAAGATTACCTGTAGACCTCATCAGGGTAGCCACAGAATAAGCGACAAGTGGCTCGACAGAGAATCTACTTGGTGAGTAAATGTGGTAATTCGTCATTCATGAATTGTTGTAACGATTGTGAATCCCCAGAAATCATGAAAATGTTTAATATTTACTTAAATGACTGATTCTTTAGAGCTATAAAAAGCATAATGGGATCAGTCAAGGCCCTATTGTTTCCGGTAACATGAAGGTGACGTCTGGAACGTCGCATAAAATATCTAGAGAACTGCATTCCATATCGTCACAGTGCCATTATTGCCATCCAAGCTTCGAAATTAATAGCTAAACATATGAAATCCTTGTCAATGTAATAAGATTACGATGATTAAGGGATCCCGAAACATTGGCTTTTGTTTTTTAAACAAGGTAGGGATGTGTGCAATTGCCAACTGATTCGTGATATATTCCCCGTTTGAAGCGCTAAAAAGCCGTTATCGTTTATCTGGATGTCAATTAAGTTTAATTCCGCCGTTAAAAAAGTAATGTATTTCGAAAGCTGTTGGCTATCATTTAAAACCAGATTAAAGTTTCATTCCTCGACTTTCAGTAATCTAACAAGCTTTCGAATTTGTGGACTGATGTTTAAAATTTTGATAACGAAAGCATTAATTGTATAAAATTATTTTGAAGATAAATTGTATTCCAGACGTGTTAAGTCACGAAGACGTCTACAAGCATAGAAATGCTAATTTCAGTTTTGTTTTTTGCTGGTTACGCCAATAAAGGCAAAAAGGCTAGACTTCGAAGTAAGGCACACATTAAAACACATACTTCAATTAACCATTGAAAGTGCCAACATCTTGCCAATAAGACATAAAGGTATCCCGAGAGATAACAAATCCAACCAATGGCAACATTGTAATGCAGGAGAAATGTCACATTTTACCATCAACCATTGAAATAAAGCTCGTCAAATCATGCGCAAATGGCAAGTGCATTCTAACCACGGTGTTTTGTCTGATGAAGTTGTTGTGCTTTGACTTAGTGGGCATGACTTTAAAAATGTCATCCTGGTAACGCTTTAATCTACGTCGAGAAGAATTGCTGTTTTCACGATGCTTTTGAAGGCCCGTAATTAGCATCTTCCAAAAACCGTCCTGTTTTGTACGCCAGAGATATGCAAAACCTTCCTTGTCGGCAATCGAGATTGAGTGATCATAATAGGTCTCCTTTTGAGGGCCACACAGCTTTAGTTTCTTGACCATATCTCGGAAGTACTTGTTCACCTCCATGTCGGTTTGACTCACAATGAAGATGCAGAGAAAAGCCAGGCAAGTTGTTAAGGTAGCAAATCCAAGCAGAAAATAGACCTGCGAGAAATTCGGCAAAAGTGGCAGATAAGCCTCGATGGGATTGACGAACTTCTCGTGGAATCTTTTATCATAACGCGGCATTGAGCGAGGATTCAAGAAGTAAATTTCGACATCTGATTCGGCCGTTTTCATTATTCTGTTCTTAGCTTGGAATTAAACAGCCCTGGGCCTTCTTACCTTGCCCTCGTCAATTTTTTTAATTGATTATCTTAATTCAAATCATTGTGCATTTAGTGGGGAAAGGTATGACTGTAAACAACGTCTAACATTCAAATAAAATTTACGATATCATGAAAAAGGTCTTTTCAACGAGTTGGTAAGACGATAATGTTGGCTTTCTCAAGCAGCGTCATTTGCCTTTTGATAGTATTCTGTCAATGCTGTCACTTAGTAGAATATTCTCATATTAATTTAAATGCAAATAGTACGCAATTTTGGAAAGAGCTGTTTGTTTAGAATAATTTTACATGGTTGCTAATGAGAAAACTCCAAGATATGCCACGTTTACGGAGTTTGTTTCTTAATAAAAATCATGATATCCGTATTTAAGATTGCAAACCTATCTAGAAATCTCTAAGACAACATTATAGCTACCAGAGGCACCACCGTTTCCCGGAACTATGAGGGACGAAACAACGTCCCAAGTAGCTCAGCTTTTATAAAGCTTTAGACCAAGCCTAATTTTTCTGAAACTTTTAATGAAATTGTATAAACAATTGGACGTGACTTGAAGTGGTCTCACTTCTAAAAATCAGAGTCAACCAAAGCAAGGTTGTGAAAATCTGAGGGTTATTTAATGGGCTCAGGCAAACAATGTCGTTCTTGCATTGAATATCAAATAAGAAGCAAGGTTTACATATAAAAACGTGGAGTGCTTTTTCTTTGTGTCTGAAAGTACTGAATTTGTGATTTTTTCAAAACTTTGCCCAATAATTAAGAAACAGGACGCAAACAACCAGAATTGGTAATCTTCCAGGTTTATTTAAGCTCACTTATTTGTTATTATTACTATTATTCAAGATAATCAAATCTCCCAAACTCTTCTTCCGCATTCAACTTGATTCCATTTAAATAATTTCAAAAAGGGCCGTGAAAATCCACTTTCTGCCATACTATTTACAAAATGAAAGCACAAAGTCTGCATGCCGAAAGTGCGTACAAATGCGCCTGCTTAAGTATACAGATGTACAGTGCTGTTTTACCCCTAGGGATGGATTTCAGCCATGCAAACTAAATGTGATTTTGTAATTAAAATAACCCGCTGTAGTGAAAAGTAATGTCTTAATAGACACAGGCCTATAGTCAAAGCCAGAACCTGCCTTATGCCCAAACGTCTCGCTTGGGTTGAACGAAAATCCATGCCACATGGAACTCACTCAAATTTATCCCGTCCACTTTCCATGCTTTCCGAAATTGCGTAATTTTTTGAAAACGTAAAATGACGTAGTCTCCCTTATTTGGCCATGAATTTTACAAAACGAATACCACATGTGTCGAAACAAGCAAAAGTTGTTACCTCAATGAGGCAGTGGATTGCAACTTTTAATTTTACCTGGCATTTGTTTTGCAAGCAGCTACGTTGAGGTGCCATAAAAGAACTATTTGCAAGTCTCTGGAAATTCCCCACTCTGCAGACAAACTCCCAAGCTGTTATGGAATCACCTGAATACTTTGTATCATTGTCCTTCAATGGGAAATTGAAATTTATGTACAAGTATTTCCGATATGTTCAATGTGTTCAACGATTTGCTGATTGCTGGTATTAAATTCCTTTTCTTTAACACTCTTTCCCGCGAATAGCACGATGCAGCTGCTAAATTATTTTTTTTGTAATATCAGCTATGTAATGCTGTAGTTATCTCTGACTGTCACTGACTGACTGACTGTTATCTCTCTGGCACTTTATTTTACAGAAACCCTCTGCACTATTCGCAACACTGATTGTTACATTCGTTAAAATTCGGAAGCAACTGCTTAACACTGTATGTACCTGAACTCTTAGATTTGGATTTGCTGAAATTTTGGTTACAACTTAGGTCTTTTACCAACCCACTTCTGGAAGCTTGGTCAATTGAAGATAACGGTAAATTACAAAACTCGAAACCTGGTGGTTACCTTGTCATTCTCGTAATGGACTTGCGAAATAAAAGATAAAGATGCGCCCAAACCTGTACTCGCGGCTGACCTAATTTTTACTTCGATCACTCTGACATTAAGTGTTGGGGAGCTAAAATAGGGGATTAAATTGCGTCAAATCTTTGCTTCTTTTGACGTTCTCGAAGAAAAGAAGAGAAAGGTGTGGTCAACCAGTGTACATAAAATTAGCTGCACGGTCAAATGACCTGAGACCACCTTTATAACACCTGAGTAATTTCCCTCTTGATGCATTCTAATGATATTTTAGCGAAAACAAGTTTGCGTGTTTCTGAAAGAAGTCCAACTTCGGTCAACTTTTCAAAGTCCCAGTCAGGTGACGATCGATCCACGAGAGGTTTTACGTAACCAGTTGATGCAAGAAAACACTAGGCCATTTTTAATGCCATTTTGAGTTTGTTTTCACAGTAAGTGTGGTTCAGGGACGCCATTCTCTAATACTTAACACCATTTTGCCATTTACCTAAGGCACCGTTCTGCTGCATTCTTCCATTTTCAGTGGTGACCATCCGCAATTTCTGGCATATTTACAATGTCACAGAGAATGCTTTGACTCAGTAAACAAAGCTCTAACATGCACTTGATACAGAGGCTCGTTAAAAATGTTCACATCCACATTTACGAAGTTGGCAAGGCTTAGACAAACTGAGGCTGCCAGGAATAAAGTAATGTTAACGATTGGTTCGTTCATTTGTCATGCTAACATTTGGAGAAGTAACAATGTGTGGTAGGCACCTTTGACAGCTTGAAAGTGTTTCACGTGTATAGTAAGAAATTGGGTACTGAAAAGTCAGTGTATTGACATTATTAGTAGGGCAAAATGTCATTTTCGGGTGTTGTGTCTAGATCCAAAATCAATTTATAGCCTATATGGTACAGGAACAGCAGAAACTGGGTTAAACAATAGCTACAAAATGACCAATAGGCATTACGATAAAATTTAGAATTTTAGAGGTCTTCATGTTAATTTCCGGAACAACAGAAATCAATTTTTACCAAGATCAGAGCATTTGGCTTACCGTAAGAGTTAACATTGCGACGTTTACCGATCACTTGAGTCAAAATATAGCAAAATGTTGAAGGTGGGTGGAAGACACGTCACTAAGCTTCTTTGTATCAAGGTAAATGAAACCGAATGTAATCAGCTTTCGCTTTCCAGCACATGCCCCCCTCGTCTGTGGACTTTTACGGCTATTCGCATACATTACATTCTAATTGTGACACTGGCACACAGAAGTTCTTGCAGCACGTAGTAGAGACGTGATTTACAATGATGAAATCCCCATACCACTTTAAGCACAAAAAAGGTAGTTACGAGACTAACAGGAAAAATTTGCCAAAGGATCATCAGACCTATATATTACATTGTTCCAGTTCATGCATAATCGAATTTATCTTTCTGCATGTTTCTGCCTCTTAACTCTGATTGGCAGGTATTTGAAGCAAAAAAGAATTTAATTTGATGTGGAAAATTACCTTTTAATGCTTTACGTTTCCAACAGCTTCCGGATAACACCAAACAGTGTCATCGAAAGACAACGAGAATAAGAATTCTAGGTCCTACGTCTTGTACCGGCATAGTTTTGACAATCTATCTAGTGACTTGACGGTTAAATTTCGACTTCCACGGCAAACATTTGCAGCCATTGTGCCACAACACTTCGAATGTGGATGCAACTTGTGGTGAATCGTGTTGATTCACGTCTAATAACGTGGTCGTCACAGCCTCGCACACACGTCCCCCTCTTCACGGCGTGCCCGTCAAGCGCTCTCACCGTCTGCTCATTAGCCTCTCCGTGTGTACCACCACCACCCGCTCCATCCATGTGACCATTCAGACGCCTATATTTTTACAAGTCCACTCAACTGTATCAGTCAACCCACAACGGGGTTGAGCTGTCTGGTAAACGGTTGTGCCTCGTCCTCTCTGGCCTTCTTGCCTTCGCAGCCACTCATGGTAGGGTAATTGGTTTAGATTATCGCAGTGGCCCCGGCGTGGTTCAAGATAACATGCCGGAGCCCTCCACAAACTACTATATTTAGGCTTCCTAATGTTTGAGTAAGTTGGTTTAATGTTGATTTGGGGCGCGCTTTAGCTTTTGGTGAAATTCAGCTAAGATGTTGACTTACATCGAATTACATAAACAAAGGCTCGAAGGAACCGCCCTATGGATAGCAGGATCCGTATGCTGGTTTTTGATTGGCCCTCAGCGACTGAAGGCGTCCAACTTAAACGTTCCTTTTCTGAATGCTCTTTTTCCACTAGTGGAGTTTAAGGTGTTTTAAAGCATTAGTTTATCAAAATTTGGAATGTGAAATAGGGGGTGAGCGAAGCGCTTTGTCGCCAAAGCTAACGGAAACTCTTGGGGCTACCTTGCTTTGTCATGCATTTAATTAAATTGGTGGTTTTTTTCAGTTAGACACGGTCACTCCCTCGCGTGAAGGTATGGTTGTAGCTAACTCAACCCTAAGACCAAGTTTATTTGATTCAGGCATCTGTGACAAAATTTTGGCTCGCAAAGCATCCTATGCAGACGAAAATAATTTCCGATTTATTTTAAAGAAAAGCCTCTAGGCTTTTCACTTGAGGAGAAAACCGATATGACAAAGGCAGTAATAGTTTTGATAAGATAGAAGAAGCAAGTGCGCAATTTTATATTCATTATTAAAGAAGGAGAAGTGCAGGCGTTGAAATTGGACACTGTGGTCATTGATTCAATTCAGCTAAAGTTGGTCACAGTGTTTAAATGTCTGCCGAATGCGTCGCTAGTAGTAGCATCGACCAGCACGTGTGACGTCAATTTTTAAGGTACGAAATTGCGATTTAGGTTGTGGGTTCAAAGTGTGAAGGAAAAGGAGGAACCATTCCTTCCATAAGAAGTGACTTGATGTGCTGCAAGGGAAGGAACTTTAGTGAAACACCCTAACAATTCTTTTATTATCCTTTGTTTTAATTTTTAGGTAACTAATTGTGCTTTTAGACATGCTTTGCATGAATCTATCTCGAAATATGCAAGTTCATCCTAGTACAAGCATGGTTTGCGACATCAACGGTAGTCAAGCATTTTCCAGAAAATGGTCGAGGAAATGCTTGTTCGCAGATGACTTCTATGCATGCTTGTTTAATTTTTCTGCCTTTTTTTCTGTTTTTGGGCATTAAACCCCTGTTTTCCACGAGAATACGACTTTTAGTTATGGAATGTCACACAATTCCCTATAAAATAGAGTGAAAGTCGTTTTGCAGTGACTACGATAACCACAATGCTATGAAAAGTGCCAATACTAACTAGAGTTAACCACTGTAAGCTGAAGTAGCCACTAGATGGAGACTTCCATTGTCACTTTAGAAATCGTAAAGCTCCACAAACAAACTGCTTTCCAAGTCCACATTGGCCTTCTGTGACGTAATTACAGAACACATCCAAAATATGTTTCACGGGTTGCTGCCAGCCATTAATTCTACGGTACTTAAAAAACCTACGGAAGTTTTTGGTTATACCTCTGAAATTCGACACTTGTTCATTTAAAAATTAATTCGGCCGCCTTCATGTATGAAAGTCGCTACGAGAGTTAGAAAATACCAACCAGATGTTTATTACAGGCAAAAGAATTATTGTTCGAATATATCACTAGTAATATTGCAATAATGGCTTTATTTACTTAGGCGCCGACCAAAAGATGTGCGTGTAACAAGAGGATTAAGTAAATTCCAGGCGACTTCAGTCCCCTTAAAAAAGGCGATTGTGCATCAGTGGGCTTTGTGTTTTTCAGATTTCATGGCATGCAAATTGCATAGTAAATTTCCATTTGCGGGGATCAGAAACTGGCATCAGTTCTCCAAAACATTAAAAAATGCGGTTGTTAGTTTGACTTGCACATTGAATAAGCTTTGTTTATCTGAACTGATTATGTAAGCGCCTTCATGGCATTTCATTTAGCCTCCTCTGCCTCCTCGAGCTGGGAGCCTTGCAGTTGTCAAAGACGATTTCCTTTAACACAGATTTGCTTTCTAATTACGAATTACTGGAATAGATACTACTGAGTATTTGTGAAAACTACCATTTGATTGAGACAAATACCCATGCCACACACTCTTATAATGTGAACTATAAAAAAGCTCTGATATTGTTGTAGCAAAGCCATGAGCATTCAAAAGGATGCAATGTTAAATTGTAATGGTCCTAGAAATACCTTCAACTGCAGTTGAACCAAGGCCAATAATGTAATTACTAGCATTATGTTTATTGTAAGTACAAAACTACTTTTGTGCCTCTATACCAGCAATTTCGTTGGTGTCTTGCAATTGAAATGTGCCGGATTTGTAGGGTTTATTGTGGAACGGCCAATTTCTTTCTCATGACTGAGGAACTTTTAAAGTTTTTCTGTATGAATTAAGTATGCGTTCTATTTTTAATTCTACATACATGGAAAACGAATAGTCTTTTTGTTTTCAAAAAAAGTGAGAAGACTAATACTCTTAACTGAGTTTAAGTCGCGTAGCCTGACCTTCATGGAATGGGTGCCAATGAAGCTTTCACACTTCTGGTGGCGTGGTTGAAATCAGCAAAACAGCACGCATCTACTCGCGTGTGGTTGTAGAGGTGTCAGTTGATGGTATGAGCTCACCCAATCCTAAGCAGCCGGAGATCACCAGAGGCATGCGATGTGAGGTGATGGTATATAAGCGAATCACGGATCGTATCCACCAGTTGTCTGGATACAATGTCTTTGATAATAAAACGGTCAGATATCGATGATGAAACGGAGATTGAAGTGATTGAATCGGAGCGTCCAACCAGGTGCAAGGACAAATGTTTCAAGGTTCTGAGAGAAAATCTATTTATGATTCTCATTCTCGTCGGCGTGGCTGTGGGATTTGGGCTTGGCTTTGGATTACGTGCCACTACAGACTCGCCGATTGTCCAACAATGGATAGGTTTGTTGTTCTTCTTACTAACTAAAACACGCAACTTTTTTATTACCCCAATTTGATTAATGTCATCGATGTCGCTTATTAATCGAACATCACTCTGTTAATATTTGCCTGCCAAATCTCAATCTAAAAAAACAGAAGACGTAGAATTCTTTTTGCCTCACCCTCAAAATCTTCAGTCAACACAACTTATTTGCAATTGTAAAGAGTCCATAGCTTGTAAAGATAATACCCACAAGAAGTCAACAATGTGTGGATCCGGAAACCCATAAAATGCTAATTACCAGTCTATCTAGCAAGCAGACTGAATTTTCAATGCTGTGAAAATCTCTAATTTTCCTAAATGGGAAACTGGAAGACACCTGCTGCAACGCTATACAAAGATATTTCACGCCAAATCATTTCGTTTGGATTGTCATCTTCGCGATCGCTAATGTGCCTATTATGAGGGGCGCTTCCTTTTAAAGTATTTTGGTTGCATTAACCTAAGCTTCCCACAGATATTTTAATTACATCGGTAAATCCAGAAGTGTCCGCCGTAAGGAAACTTTGTAAATGGATCACGGCTAGTAAATATGTTTAAATTTCAACAAACTATATCTGCCTCAAACTAAAATCATCAGTTATAGTGTAATGCTTCTAGTCCCGTGTAGGAGTCTCCATAAGTCTCGAGGTCCCCGGTAAAGGAAGGAAGCAAGAATCGTTTACCAGTTATCTAGACCTGATCATAATTCATGTATTACCATTTGTCCATCGTTGTGAAATAGCCTAAGAGTTTGTGGTTCATTCATGGCTGATTAGGAGCACCGACAACCTTCGAGATCTCACGCGCGAGTGGCAGTCACCAGCATTCATAATCTTCTTATAATTTTAGAACTCCTTGGCAAAATCTACATCAATGTTTTGGACTTAACCATACTTCCTTTAATAGCCTCAAATCTTATCATCGGTAAGTTCACTTCCGCATCTCAGATGGTAGGTTGAGCTTGTCTTATGCCATTTATAGGCTAATTTATCCGTTCTACTAGTAATGATTTAAGATAGAGTAGAACCGCAGCTCCTTTGAGCCTCGCTTTTCACTTCGATTCACGGTGGATGAAAATATTTTACATTGACAATGGCAGCAGACCATCAGGGTAATTAGGGTATTTCAGACGTTTGGTGGAAAACTTTGTATTGTATTGTAAGGTTTCACAGGGAGTCAAAATTTGGTTTTCAGCTAAATGCAACTCAATTAATGTAGTGTTCTTTGTGAGAAATAAGCTTAAGACAAATAAGAAGATATTGGCATATGCTGTTGCCTTCATTCAATACAACTGCTGTCCTTAGTTTTGAACACGGAATGCATTTGCTCAGCTTCGGTGGACCTAGTACCTCCCGCATTAAAGTAGATAATGCATAATTATAATGAAAGTTGAATCATTGTGCCTTTTTCCCTCTAGTTATCGCTAACCTTAATCCGAAAGAACAGGGAATAACGAGCATAATTACGCTGGTTTACATTATTGGAATGAACCTGTTGGGATCTTCGATTGGAACAGCCGCTTCCGTCATCATTCAGCCCGGTAATCAAATGCCTATATGCTAGAAGCCTTTCCATGCATATTCAATCGTTTTTTGGCAACCAGAATATGACCTTTCATTCCCGATAATGATTAGTTCAAGAAATTAAAATCGAGTTAATCAGTAAACGATTAAGTTGTTAAATCGCCGTCCAGTAAAATCCAATCGATTGCTAGGTAGAATACCGGTGACCCTTATTTGTGATTATCCTGAGCAACAGTGTTAAAACCACAAATTTTAATTCGTTGAAAATAAACAAGTAATCAAATAAATCACTAATTCAGAGCAGAGGCATCCCATTTTCCACATAGTCCTTCAGATCACCTTTGTCTATTCTGATGAAGGACAAATTTATTTGGAGAGAAACCACAAATGATTCTACATTTTTTTGATTTAGTGAACAATTACGGCATTTTTCACACAAATTTTAATTTACTTGGGACTAAATTATCTATAAGCATAGTTAATGGTCAATCTTGTGCTACTCTGTGATTCAAAAAAATGTAAGCGCTGAATTGCAGATGTTGCTCCAAACTAATTTCTAATACATCTGCTGTATATTTACATAATTAGAACTGTTTAATTTTGAATTCAGGCTCTGGAATTGCTGCAGAAACGAACACCACCACTGACGAAGACCCACGACTCAGATCGACAACGTCTGATGTGTTTTCCGACCTTGTTCTGAACTTGTTTCCTGACAACATCATTGGGATGTGCATTTCACAGGTGCGCTGTAAAACGTGTCTGGTTATAACGCAGATAAACACTTTTCATTCATTGATTGAGGTTAATTCAGCTTAGTTTTGTTTTGTTCAATTTCGCTCTAACGATTGTGAAACAATGCATAAACACAGCGAGTGTTTTAATGAATAATTTGCTACGCCTTGGAGATTTGTTCAGAAATTGTTTGATGAAGTTAAAAGGCCTGTGTTAGCGCTATTGCATTAGGTGATATTATGCTTCTTTTCCCTATCTTGTTTTAATCAGGGACCACAGAATTTTTTAAAAAAAGAAATAATGCCGCTTACGATCTTCGTGCCACAAAATCCACTTTAACTTTTCTATTCGACTTGCACCCATATACTGTCATCAACCGTGGACGTGAATAAATAGCTTTGTTATGTATGACATCTTCACAACGTTACTTAGTTGATTTTATATCTTCAAGTAAATTTCCTTCTAAAACAACAGTCTCCATACTATGCATAAGTTTTTGATGAATTTCAACACAACACATTACTCATTAAAACTCCAAAAAACCCATCACTACAAGCTCTTCTTTTGTGTAAATCACAAGTGTGACCTTAATTGTTATACGAGGCAAAATTTTCATTCCTGAAACTTTGTAACTTCATTTTAACTCTACAAAAACATGGAATTTATAAGATTGTTTAATCTAGCGTCATCGGAATCCGTTTTAGCCTGTCCAAGTGGAAACATAAAGAAATATTACATTCCCTCATTATCACGTTAGAATTCTAGTCACATTTTGTTTTATTCATGAGAGGCTTGATTTTAAAATATTCATTTTTTTAATTGTACTGTCTCATCGAAGCGTTGTGTCAGTAACCAGAATCATGCATCCAGCGAAACCCTTGTGCAATTCAAGCCCCACTTTTCTAGTGCTAGAGCACAGACAAGACCGCGTGCTTGGATTTTGCTGTCACCGCCAGGGGCAGAGTTACACGCTCAAATAAGCCAACTTGTGCGTGCCTTTGGCGACCTTGACCCTAGTTGAGGTCGATAAAATGGAATAAACACACTGATGAGGCTGTTAGTACGTGACCTTACCGATAGTTTGGTGGAACACTGTCAGTTGCAGAAATTGTGACGAATCTCAACCATGTGGTGAACAATTTCCTGGGCAATACTGGCAGCCTCATCACTCACTCTGAGACCCAGTTAAATCGATTTGCAGTTTCCACATTTGGAGAGTGTGCAAACCGCTTCTAAGCTGCTACATACCGGTTAATCTTTGCTTTAATTTCCAATAGTGAAGCAACTTTTTAAGTGCACTTTTACGTGCCAACTATTATGTCCTACTTTCTATTTTGCGACTCGTAGGATCACATAATTCATAGCTCAACTTTAGTTTGGCCAGGTTTTGTGACATTTTCCACCACCAATTGCAATTTTAAATTGCCAAATTCCAAAGCGGTTATTAGTGTTAAGTCTTCCTCATTTTGTAGATATGACAGTAAAGTATATATAGACTATTTGAAAGGTCTCTCCTTATATTAAAAACCACTGAAATTATTTTCCGTAGAATGTTTAAGGTTGGCTTTATTCCACCACGTTTGATTGAAATGAGCGGAATCTGGTCTTGCATGGGAATATGATTAATTTTTCGGTGGCAATAATTTCAATTTAAAATGCTACAGAGCTAGACGCAATGTACTAAGAACTTTAATATCTCTTCAAGAATATCGCGTTTTTTACTATTTTAGGTTAAATCAAGGCGTGAGTATGAGCCAGGGTCTAATGGAACGAAAGTAATTCGAGTTGTAGGATCTACAAACTCAAAGAATCTAATTGGTAAGTGTGCAACGTCTTTAATAGTTCTATTATCATGCCATTCCTCTTATAAGAGCTAAGTAGCCTCAAACATAATGCAATTTAATAGCATCAGGTGACCGATGTGAACCAATCTCTTTGCTTAACTGCTTTTTCATCAGAAAGGGGTCAAACTTGCTATTATAAATGACGTACACGCCTGGCATTTGTCCACATAACACGTAAACAAATCAGGAGAACCACTGCGACAAAATTAGCACTCCGGAAAAAAGATCTTGCAGTCTGCTACCTATTTAGGTGGTCATGGTAACCTTTTAAGTCGAGCTATATGTGTTTCTTTTGCCAAAACATTAGTGCAATGGCTTAAGAGTTAATAGCCGACTCCACAAAATATTCTGCGGTCCTTTTTGAAATGTTGAACTTATCATCACTAGCATGTCAAAGCAAAACTTTTGTTTACCTCTTTCTACGTTTGGTGAAAAAATTGTCTGATTATAACACAAATCGACCAAAATATTAAATGAATAATACCAGTCACGCATGCATTGCATGGAAGTTGAGTGAAATTCGCCACTTGATCGAAACCTTTAATCGCGAATCGCTGGTCATCAATGCATCATGCTCTAGCCATCAAATCAGGAGTCAAGTTATCTACACTTTTGAAAGTGAATTTACGGGTTATAAATAGTACACCGACCCGGAGCTGACAGCCACGAATACCAAAGTCCCCGCTGGAAGACCAACATGGTTTCGTCTCTAAAACAGACAATAACATTTTTGGCCTCAGACCGCAACAAGAAGACAATAATTTTAGTTTAACATTGTTAGCAGCAGATATATTAGATAAAATTGGCTTCATGGTACCGAAGTATTGAATTTGCCAACACGGGATAGTTGCACTTAGGTATTTTATCAAATAACTATGCAAACCACCATGTGCATATTTCAAAAACTGCCATAATGGAAAAAGTAATAAAGCAAAGACAAAAAACTATTAAAGTCGATACAAGTGACTATCAAAGTTCACCATAAACCTTAGTCTTCCCTTATCAAACTTTCAAATATACCTTTCTGAAACTCTGCCTAGCGCTTTCTTAACTAACATTGATGATCCAAATCTTCAATTTATAGATGGCTTTGCAATCGCCTGATTAATTCCTTAGAATGTTTTTGTAAACACAGCACTGGTAAGATGTCATAGGGCCATGCCGCATCCAACAAAACAGAACACCAAGTTCAAAATTTCCAAGTTGTTATTAATCGGAGGCAGCCTTAAGCAGAATTAAATTGCTATCGTTTAATTCATCTTGAAAAAGCGACTCAGAGCTTACTTTGTGTTTTCGGTTAAGTGGATGCCCTTAAGCCAGTAGGCAGTCTTGTCTTCACAAATGAGTAGAAGCCAATAACGTCGAGATAATGACAGTAGTATAGCAGACTAGTTGGCTTTGAAGTCTTCAATCATGAAGGTTCCGAGCCCTGGGTGATTTCTTACGATGTAAGCACTGGAGTAGGATGAAAGTTACAATCCTCGTTGAATTTTTATCGTAGACCTTGAGAGCAGTTTAATATTAATAACCTCCTTGAGTTATGGCAAGTCACCTTGATGCTTGCTACAAACCCTGGATGGAGCAACTGTGGGAACATCGCCTTGGTGTCTCTGCTTACTGTGCATCCACCATTGCCGTATAGTCACTGGTACTTTTGGCGAAAAGGTCGCTAGTGAGCAAGGAATTCCATTTGAGACTGGGACGGGAAGTCAAACTGCAGCATCGTGCACGTAGTACAGCCGGAAGAGTTGCTTCAGCTAGTGTCGTAAATTAATAAGGCTGGAACGGCCAGGCTACAACTGATATCCTTATTTGCGTTTTGATTGGGCTCAGAACCAACAAGCATTTCGATATACTGATCAAATAAGAAGCGAGAGTATACCGAATTTGAATATCCTCAAGTGGCTACAAAGAAATCATTTACTTGATGCTGAAGGAAATGGCTTTGATGCCTATCACTAGTTAGTGCAACCAACTGTAGCTACGGGGATCCATTGCGGTAAGGAACGCAAGCTTTAGTGGATCAAAATGTGTTACCAAAATTAAGGTTCCGGAAATTCAGAAATAAATCCGCTCGTTGAAAAGATTGCACGAAAGCATTTGCTGCCGACAAGGCGGTAAAAATGCTGCTACTTGATGGCGAAAGAGAACTTTATGTTAAGACACAACGGTTCTGTTTGTCCAAACGCCTGCATCCAACCTCCTCGTGTCTGAATTACTCCAATTGTGTTAACACCAGGGGCGTCACTTATTTGTACATGATAGGTGTTTAGTCTGATAAGATAGCGACCTAGGATAATGATTGCGCTGAAGTTTGGCTGCAACTACACCAATAGGAACCTCTAGTATTTTCTGGTGGGTTAATATGACACTGGTTAGTAATGCTGTAACCGGATTGCAAAGGGCTTTAACTCCCCATTTTGTAACTTGTTGAAGCCTAATTCCAATGTAAGTGTCGCTCTTCTTATGAAATACAAGCTGCATTTCTGTTCCTACCTAAATATAAGCAATATCACCACATATCAAGAGTTGGATCTTCTTGTACGACCAGGAGCCCTATCATGTGTTCCCGTTTTCCATGTTCTTGACCTGGCTGTAACCAATCTGGGTTGCCATAATAAATCGCCAATCTTGTGTGGTATAACGAATGTCTGTTGAAAAAGCCGATTAATTAAATTGTACAATTGCACAATGTGACAATCCTTCTGTCAAGCTAGGATGAAGTTTTTTGAAACAGTTGCGCTTCGAAAAGTTAATATAAACCTCATCCAATTAACGATGTGGCATATTTCATGGAGTGGACTCCAACATAACTCGCTTTGTTGTAACCATTTTTCATTAGCAATTAGGCACTTCAAGGGATGTAGTCGACCATCGACATTATTACCTTGTAACACTAAGTTACAGCATGATGAGTCATTGAAATTGCCGTTTACTTGAAACAATTAATAAAGATTATGTCGGATGGCATCAGGTGGTTGGAATGCTGTAATAATTAAAACAAACATCGAAAACAGTAACTTTGGTGTGTGAATCCTAATGCACATTAGTTAGGGTTAAATGTGTGATTAAAATGTCACCCTACATTAACTGCAAACTAGTAGCTGTTACGTCGCTCCCAGGTTCTCTGGGTTTTTGGCACTCAAAGTGAATGTTGTTTTTTTTAATAGGCATTCTCTTGGTCTCAATCGCCTTTGGCTTGGCAGCGAGAGCCGTTGGCTCTGCAGGACGTCCGTTTCTTGACTTCTTCGAGTCCCTTTGTGAAGTGACTATCAGATTGGTCCGTGTCTTCCTTCTGTGAGTTGGTCTCGACTTTTTACGTACAAGGTCATCGTGTGCACATCAGTCGACAAACCACTGAAACCATGAGTGTTTAGTATTACTTTAGCTCAGTACACTTTTATGCTGCTGCCCACTTGCATACCCCACACACCCGGTGACCGGAAATCTTTTTTTTAATAGACTGACTCCAGGAGGTGTGTGTTTCATGATTGCGGGAGCCGTAATGGGCGTTAGCGATATTGCCGGGGAGTTTTCGAAGGTAGGGAAGTTTGTCCTCACCGTCACAGCTGGAATCGCCGTCCTCTTCATCATGGACCTCCTCATTTATTTCATAATAGCAAGGCGAAATCCGTTCAAATTCCTTCCTCACACCATCAAAGCTTGGTTCATCAGCTTTGCTACGACTTCACCGTAAGTCTTACTTTAAATGCTAAAGTGGGAAGCATCGGCACAGTAGAAGCCCAAATGTGATTATCTAAAACTAACTTCTGCAAAAGAACATAACATCCATCTGTTTACCAGTTTTTGGCTAATATTTAGAATGCTGCAGCCAGGCCGCATTTGCATTTGCCTATTAGCTGCTTTTATCTCACCACTACAGGCACGCAGGTTTATGCAACACATCAGTGCTATAATTCAGGTACTTGCCCATTGTAGTTTGCAATCCGTGGACTTTACCTAAATCTAATTTCGCCTCCACTTACAACCACCGCATTTTAAAAACAATTTTTATTGATGTATAAGTAAGATTGCGGTTCTAAGTGCAAATTTGATAACTGACAAGGTTGCAAATTTATTGTGCATTCTATATTGTAAGTAATACCTTTCACCTATTTCTAATGTCCATTACAAGGGTCTTTGATGGCGAATAACATTAACATTACTGAAAACTCCTTAAATTATTGTAACAGCCATGTCAAGATTATATAGTACTCCAATTCTATAATAGAAATGACGAAAATTAGCTTAAAATCAAGTCATTATGATTGACTTTGCCAAGTACACACCACTACATTCACAATTGATCAAATTCCAATAAAATGACGGAAGCCTCAGACAAAAACCCTAGATGGACTGAAGTATAATCTTGTTAAATTCCGTTCGTTTAGAATCGTCTCGCTACCGGAAATGCTTCAGGGATGCGATGATTATGGAATTCGGCCCGCGATATCGAGGTTTGTCTGTCCCATTGCCACAGCCATGAAGTCAGACGGACCGGCAGTTTTCATCTCCTGTGCATGCATGTTTGTTGCACAAATGGAGCTCTCGCCAGTGCCAGCTACCACTGTCGTGGTTATTTGGTAAGTTCAGCTAATGCAGTTGCCTTCCTTGGACAAAAGTCCCACTTTTTAATGCTAGTGTAACGGAATACCTTGGAAGAACCAAGGATTTTTAACAACGCTTAAAATTTTTGAGATTATGTACAAGATTTAAGAAAAGGAATTTACCTTCCAATTTATGACAGGCTCCTAACGGGTGTTAAGCCCTTGAACTCTTGCAGATCTAATTTATTCATGTTATAATTTGAAGAATCCGCAAATGTACATGCTACTTATGTGAGTTCACTAGTATTATGTTTAGCTTACGTTTCCTCCCGTGTTTTGATTAGTGTTAAATGCACACGAAAGTCCCACTTTTATGAACAGAGCCTAATCAGTATTAAACATACGGTGGCTAGGTCCGCTTTGTCAAAAATTATGCAGATTCGAATCAAAAGCCTGCCAGACTTCTCGGTGACTAACGATTTCACCAAATGATTCTGGACTCGACGAATCTGCTGGTTAGGGCACTGTCTTGCCATAAGGTTTGGTTGGAGGGTGCAAAGCGCTTTTCTTGCAGCTGTTTTAGAACATGAAGCTGTTGTTAGAAGTGAGTGGTTGCAAAGACAACTTTGCGTCGTGGCAATGATTCCAAATTCTCAATAATATCCATCGCTTCGTCATGCACAGAGCATTTTTTTTCAGTTTGCACCGATCAAATGGTTGATGGCAGGTGCTAATTTTTGTCAAGCCATCACTTGAAAGCTTAATTTTACTATCCAGTCCCCACAGTGCCTTATCCGACAGGAGGACATAGTGCAGAAAAATTGTTGTCGGGACTACAAATCGTCTGCCGACTTTTAGTGTTTCATCAAAAACCAAAATTTGGACCCTTGATTTCTTAACTACTATGGTATTTAGAAATAATGGCCAGGAGTTTGGTTTCACGCCCACGTTAATGCTACTTCTCTTCGTTATCCGCTGACTTTATCAGTCAAATATGCTTAGCATCAGCATTACGATTTGAATACTGAACAATGCTGATTTGCTAGTTAAAACAAATTTTTCTTATCCAGTTTGCATGTTTTACTATCACTGGGGCGCTTGTACTCCGGAAATGGATGCTTACCTTCATCAATCCATTAATGGTTTGAAAAGTGCAAAATAACAAATATCGTGTTTTCGAAGTTAACTCGTGATTGCGAAATATAGACAGCAAACATAATTTCTCCATGTCAGTTTTGGCTATCAGTATTCAAACCCAAACAGTTTTTAAACTGAAACAAAGTGTGAGGATTCCACAACGCATGGTAACCATTTAAATTCCTGAAATTTTTGCGGCTCTGAAAGTTCCTATCGTTCAACTGCACGTTCGAAACGTCTGTGCTAAGTTAAGGTGACTCGCTTGAAATGACAGTCGTGTACAATAATGAAGTAGTACATAACAGGACTAAATAAGCAGTTTTTGGGGTGTTTAAAACCGCCATGCCTGAGCTTATGGTTGAAAAGTAGTAAATGTCATTGTTCACTTCCCTGCGCACTCAGATGTTTTAATTTTTTTGAAACATTTTGTAGGCTTTTGACCTCAGTCTCGGTGTTGGCTATACCGCACATCCCAAGCGCGAGTATCATCATTTCGATAACCATCCTCAATTCTGCTGGTGTCGCCACAAAGAGTACCGCCTATCTCTACGCCATTGACTGGCTCCTGTAAGCTTTACCATTGCATCCGTGCTTACCTTGCTTGCCTCTTGTGGATGGCATAATTATTATTGTCTGTTCCTCCAGTGACCGCTTACGTGCTGGAGTTGCAACAACAACCACCATGGTTGGAGCAGCATTTATGCATGAAGTGTCTAAAAGAAAAACTCAAAAAGAGGACACTGGTGCCCTAAATGAAAACGAAGACTTCGTTTCACACACGCCCCAACCTCTCCCGAAAATTGCACCATGAGGTGTTAAAATCTGTGATCCTAATAAAGCAATCATCTTTCCTTGTCTAACCCCAAATTTATTCCCAAGTCGTTTTTACTATTTCTTATAGATTTTAATCCATTCGCCCAACAGATTTGTTCCAGGAACGTCAACGATTCTGTTGAATTTTATCATTACAGATGCGAGTTTGTTAAAATTACTTTAACTAAAAGTAGCAGTCGGTCGTTGAAGCTCCATCCTTGGCAATGAAAGATTTTGTGAATTTAAGACAGAATTCATCTTCGTTGAAAATAAATATTGAGTTGGAAACCATTGCCTGAATCAACAGCCTACTATGGTACTTGGTCTTTTTAATACATTCTTTCTTTTGTGTGAAATTTCAGAAGTTTTCCGTCATTCAAAGAGCTTTCCAACCGTTCTGCTTTCTACTTTCTTTGTTAGGGATCGTTTTCGAGCAGGCGTGCATTCCATAAGCACGATGTATGGTGCAGCAATGATAAATGATAGAAGGTCCTGGATACGCAAAGATCTCCAGTCTTCTGATCCTTATGACGAAACTGTAGTTGAGGATAAATAAAGCAGTAGATGTTTTTCTCTGAATGCGCTCTTTGTTTGTACCGCTTTTTCTGATATTTATAGATTTGTGTGACTTTATTTTTCTTACAAATGGGGTTGCAGGGTTTTACAAATCGACCAGCGTCACTAAAATTAACGACCTTGTTTGTTTTCTTACTTCACTTGAGTTCTGTCCTTCAGATGCAGTTTATTACGAATACAATTGTTATATGATTCAGAGGTTTGTAGTTAATAAGTTCTTTTGCTCCATCTAAGAGCGAGGTTCGTTTTGAAGCGTATCTAATTGATTTTATTTAGGACATCGAATCTAGGGCTCCTCACACTGAGTAAGGCTGTAAGTCTCATAGGTATGTTTGTAAAACATTGTCCTTTACTTTCAGGGAGTCGTATGCCTATATTTTATTTTTTAAACAAGACATCAGGTTTATTTGTTCCTGTTTATCACCTAATATATTTGTACAACGCTTCGTTATGAAACCCATAGGGCACGTTAATTATCTCGATATCTTTGACTACAACGGCTTTAGAATCGTTTATATTGTTTCACTAAAACGTAATCGGTTTGTGGAAAGCTCCGCACCCAAACCGCTGCTGGGGCCTGATCCGACACCAAATACTCAAGAATGAGAACAAAGAGAACAGAGACAACCGTTTATTAGTCATGGCTGTTCACACGTATTTATAGGTCCTAAGCCCAAGTAGTGGGGTGCGTGTGTCACTGATATATTAATGTAGGGATTACAGGGGTTTGTTTATACAAGATAAACGTTAGAGTTCATCGAGGTGAACACAAAGATTGGCCGGGTAATTTGTTTAGGATTGAGCTGTGGTGACGATTGTGAATTAACAACATTCACCACAATACATTTAGCGGCATGTACATGCGTTTAGAACAACAAATTTTCATCGCTTCAGGCCCTAAAGACGCAATATTACACTTTTAATACATTTAGTGGCATGTGTATGCGTTTAGAACAACAAATTTTCATCGCTTCAGGCCCTAATGACGCAATATTACACTTTTAATACATTTAGTGGCATGTACATGCGTTTAGAACAACAAATTTTCATCGCTTCAGGCCCTAAAGACGCAATATTACACTTTT